GAAAGAAACAGTGTTCTTGAAAATGGAAATACTTCCAGTTACTAGATATATGGCATGCATATGTGTATTGTGCATAAAAAGGTACATATTATATGACTAAATAGATTAACAAAAAGAACATATACACTGGAAGAGCAAGAATTTTTTTTAAAAATGCAATACTCAGTTAGTGTAAAAAAACAGATTAGACAGCTTGCACACCCTGAAGAAAATATTTTAAAACTCTTCAGAAATGGTAACAAGGTAGAAAATGTGCTCAAATTTTACTTATTAATTCTTCACAGTATGAAAACATTTTTCAAAAGAATTGTGTCACTAAAAGTCTGATGATGCTCAGAAACAGGCAGTAGAGAAGTTGCAACATTTATTTCCATGGCATAATACGTCTGACCTAGATTCTGCAAACACAGACCAAAACAACTACATCTCTGAAGTTTAATCTAAGAGGACTGTATTTAGTGCTGTACACTGTGAGGGTTAAACTAACAAAAACTCTTCCAACTGTTCACAACTCAACTGCACAAGCTTATCTCAATATTAAATCACACCACTGGTCAGACATCTAACCAATTAGTTACTACCTGACAGTGGCCTATATTAAATGTCTAAGATAAAAAATGCAAACAACTAATAATAACATCAATATACATACGATTCTTCTTTACCTTTAGTTTCCCAAGGCCTAAACCACAAAGATTTGTTAAATTAACTCTGCTTTGTAAGCCTTGTGTGTAGAAAGAATTCAGAATTTTGCACCACTGGGTGAATACAATTCAAGACTTGAAAAGAAAGACAGAGGATCTTTAGTCTTTTGGTGATAGATCCTAAAAGAATAAATTTTCCTCGTGTAAAGATAAAATACACTCAGCTAAGTAAGCCTATAAAGCAAAATCCCAACATTGTAGGAAGAAGAAAACACAGCAAACCTGATGAGGACAAGGCTCTGGCACTGTTGAAGAGCTGGTGCAACTCTGTAGGATGGCTGCACGTACTTCTATGTTCTGCATGTGCAAAATATGTCCCTGATGGCCACAACGGGCAGGTTTTTGGTAAGGGCATGGGGCTGCAGGGGTGGTCTGTGTGGGAGGAGGTCAGAGACTGCCCTATACTGGTCACAGCCATTTCCAGCTGGCTCCACAAGAGACAAGACTGACGTACCATGTGGCAGCGCTCAACTCATCTGAGCAGCACATGATAACTCCATGAAAATGTGTTTAAGAAAGGGTGGTCACTACTATGGGGAGGATGCATAAGGGGAGATCCAGAAGGAGACATGAGAGGACACAAGGGAGGTGACATAGGAGGAGGTACACCTGCAGGGTTACTGCAGTGCATGGAGGAACCCTTGCTGGAGCAGAGGTTAAGATTAAGAAACAAGAAGCAGGGAAGAAAAGGAAACCGCTGCGGACTGACTCCAACTTTCTCTGCCTCTCATCACCTCACCACAACTGGCAATACATTAAACTTGATTTAAATTCCCCAAGTCAAGACTGTTTCACCCACAGTGGATGCCTCATGACATCAAAGAAATAAACAGAAAGAAACAAACTGTACCCCATCAGGCTTGTTCAAGTCATTCAGATGAAGATCTTGGAGAAAATAGTCAACTATTTTAACGCTGTTGTTCTGAGCTGCAAAGTGCAGTACATTCATTCCTTCCTGAAAAAAATGATAAGGAACTCTGTAACAAGTTTGATTTTTTTTCAACATAAATATGTTTAGATTTGGTAAAAATCTGTCATCAACAAACCTCATTCTTAGCCTTTTGATCAGCACCTGCTTTGACTAATTTTCGCATTATATCCAGATTTCCAGTCCAAGCTGCAAGATGAATCACTGTCAGGCCATGCTTCAAATAAAATGACAAATACAGAAATTACCTCATGTCAGATTTCATAAAATCTTTTTGACTATTTCAGTGTATGAGAGAGTTCTACTCTGCAGCTTGTTAGAGAACCAGCATTAACACCTGGTAGTGTGAGTGGGATTAATCTCAAATTAAGCTAAATGTCATGCATGAAGACCTAGCTAACTGATCGGGTTGCTCTTCATCTTGACAGGAGATCTGGTGCCTCCAGAGAAGGACTGATCTCATTTTAAGATAGGAGGATTAAATACTACCCAGAAATTACCCCCTGTTTGCAGAAACCATGTAGATAGCACTGGGTGAGGTGGATGACATTTCAGGTGATGATATGTAATTACTGCATTTCCATGAGTCACCATAATTTTCCAGTTAGCCCGGTTTTTAAGGTTATCTATTCTTCTCTCAAATTCTTTGAAAAGTTCAACTCACATTGTTAACTTCCTAGAGTCAAAATGAATACAGGTAAGGAACTTTGTGTCAGTGTCTCCTATCTTGGCCACAAATATCTCTAGCTTTTCCACAGTTCTTCCTCAATTTCTGTGTGCTGTGTCCAAGAGCAGCATCATAAATAATGGCTCGTTGTACAAAGTGCTGTGTAGACACAAGACATTCATACTCCACCATAAAGGCACCAGATTTAACAGACAGAATCTATGCTAAAGGAAGCAAGAAGGATCAAGACACTTTCTTAGCAGTTTAAGCATTCCCCAGAATTTCTCTTCTGTAAATGAGGTATAATAGCTTTCCTCCCATCTCTAATGGCAAGGAGATTTTTGAGTACCCTGAAGACTGAAACTTCACAAACTCTCAGAAAAATCTATTCTAGAGTCTGACCACCCTGACAGGGTGTTTTTCTCCTGCTTGTACCTAATCAGGATGTCCCATGTTGCAATGTGTGTCCACTGCCTCTTGTCCCATCACTATGCACCTCTGAGAAGAGTCTTCTCTACACTCTCCCCATAAGTGACAGTAGATGGCCAGAAGGTCCCCATCCTATCATTCTCCTCCCAAGGCTGAGCAGATCCAGCTCTCCCAGCAGCTCCTCATACACTATGTGGCCCAGTCCTAACCATCCTATGGGCTCTGCACTGGACTCAGGCCAGCTTATCAATATCTCTCCTGTCTTGGGGAGCCCCAAACTGTGCACAGGAAGCAGAAATCGCAGTGGAAAACAGTGCAGGGCAATAAGGACCACTCATCTGCTGCACAAGCTGCAAGAATAAAGCTGAGCTTGGGCAAAATTTGTGACTGAGCCTCAAAAGCCTGCCCTAAAATCCTTCCCAACTAAGAGAAAGGAGAAAAACTGACTAAACCTGATAGCCTTATACAATGAGAAGACTAGCCTGGTGGATGAGAGGAGAAAAATTTATGTTTATCTCAACTGTCATAACAGGTTTGACACTGACCCCCATGACATTGTTGTAAACAGATGAAGTACAAGCATAGACAAACGGATATATCAAGGTGTAGTGAAAGCCAGCTGAACTACCAGGCCTGAAGTCTTCTGATCAGCAGCACAAAGTCCAGCTGGAGACCAGTCACTAGCAGTGCACTCAGAAAGGTATCCAGACAGGTCTTGAAAGTCTCCAGATAAGGAGACTCCACAACCTCTCTGGGCAGCCTGTTCCAGTGCTCTGTAACCCTCACAGTAAAGAAGCTCCTCCTCACATTGAATCCATAGCCCCTTGTCCTGTCACAGGGCGCAAGTGAAAAGAGCTTCTCCCTGCCTTCTTAATGACCAGCCATCATGTAGTTATAGACATTAATTAGGTCCCCCATTGGTCTTCTCCTCTCTAGACTGAGAAGTCCCAGGTCTCTTAGCCTTTTCAATGGTAAAGGAGAAAAAAGAAAACAGGGTGGGAAAAGTAGAATAAATTGTTAATCTATTTTCATTACTCAGCTCATTGGAAAACTCTTGCTTCTAACATCCTGATTATTAATAACATACTACACATTTGATTTTAATATAGTAACCAAATCTTGCACTGTGGATGACCACCTGGCCCAACCAAATCAGCAATACACTGCTAGACTCTTCAAGTGTTGGGGGCTGCAGAGTAGCTGACAGTTTTGCATTAAGCTACTCAATATAAAAATACAGGGAAAGAACACAAGGAGTTATGTTCTGAGCCCCTAACAATCCTGAGAGCTCATTTTTACTTTTAGCGATCACTTTCATTTTAAGTGGCCACAGATTAATTCATCACTACCCTATGTAATTGCACAAGTGGCTTCAATTAGCCTCACTGAAGTATGCAACATAGCTATAGGCAATATGCTTTTCCTCTAATGATGTTTTTCCATATAGGTGTTTATAGTGTCTTAAAGACAAACTGAAGCATTTACAGCAAGCACTTAAATTTGCCCAACAGGGAGTATATGGCAAAGATTTACGTTTGCTTTTCCCCTGAGGTGTTCCTGTACAGTGCAAACCAAAACATGTAAACCAGCTTACCTGATCTGCCATATCAAGTCTAGCTTTGTGATGGAGAAGAAAATCCACCACTGACACATGACTTCTGGCAACAGCAAAATGGAATGCGGTGCGCTTCAGCTGAAATGAGCAAAGCTTTGATTGACAAATCTGTAAAAAAGCTCCTTTCTTTTTGCAGGTGATCAGGATTTCAGAATTCTCTGATTATTAACAAATGTACTTGTTAATATATGTGTTTTTTTATACATGTATAATATATATATTTGCATATTTCTCCTTCAACAGACACATTTGGTCTTTATCTGCACTTGTGTTCCCTTGGATAGAATCCAGCAATTGATCTTAAAGATTTCTTGTAGAACCTGAATGATTTAGTTACTCTACAAAGAATCATCCCTTAACTGAAATGTCAAAGTGGGATTAAGTAATTATATACTTCCTAGAGGAGATCCACACAGTAAAAGAAGCATCCGTGTTTACTATTTTAGTATTTGTTTTGATTTGAAAAGCTGAGGACTAGATTTATGTGATCAGATTTGCTTTTGGTATGCCTGCTTTTGACTCTGTCTCTGCAATGCATGAAGAGATTCCTCCCTCATTCAGTATTAGTCACCTTCCCAGACTGAGTCATTAACTACAGAAACAAAATATAGAGATGAGAGGTGGAACCTACTCAATAGCAATAGCGTGGTTGTGATTTTAATCTAGGAGTTCTGGGGAACAATTTGCCTTCAGTAGCTACTATAAATATTCTACCCATGAACATCCCATGTTACTTATTTATGAGTTCTGAAAAAACTTATTTTCCATGCCACCATGCATTTTTCCCCACAGAGAAACTGAGGAGAAACTACAGGTGCTTTCCTTTGTTTGTGAAAAAGAGAGGGAGACAAACATTTCTCCTGAGTAAAATTCTCTTGAACAATGAGTGTTCCCATAATTATATAGTGCTCTAAAAATTTACTTTAAAAGTATTTCTTGCTTCCTGAATGCTTTCCAAAATTTAAGAAATACTTTTCTAAATACTTTTCCAGTCCAGTAGTTTGAATATGTATTTTCATCCTTAAATCAGACCTACAGTATAAGAGATACACTAGCATAGCTACATGGGTATTGTGCTTTGATTGACTCTCCTAGTGGGGACATAGCTTACACTGGCAAATCCACTGTTTTGTTCCTGTTACTCATTCCTG